CAAGACACAACCCAACCCAACCCGAATGATTCTAGTTCTAGGTCTTGTGTTAGTTTTAGTGATGGTGTAAACCTAGAACTAACACATTTCGGAACCAAGACACAACCCAACCCAACCCGAATGATTCTAGTTCTAGGTCTTGTGTTAGTTTTAGTGATGGTGTAAACCTAGAACTAACACATTTCGGAACCAAGACACAACCCAACCCAACCCGAATGATTCTAGTTCTAGGTCTTGTGTTAGTTTTAGTGATGGTGTAAACCTAGAACTAACACATTTCGGAACCAAGACACAACCCAACCCAACCCGAATGATTCTAGTTCTAGGTCTTGTGTTAGTTTTAGTGATGGTGTAAACCTAGAACTAACACATTTCGGAACCAAGACACAACCCAACCCAACCCGAATGATTCTAGTTCTAGGTCTTGTGTTAGTTTTAGTGATGGTGTAAACCTAGAACTAACACATTTCGGAACCAAGACACAACCCAACCCAACCCGAATGATTCTAGTTCTAGGTCTTGTGTTAGTTTTAGTGATGGTGTAAACCTAGAACTAACACATTTCGGAACCAAGACACAACCCAACCCAACCCGAATGATTCTAGTTCTAGGTCTTGTGTTAGTTTTAGTGATGGTGTAAACCTAGAACTAACACATTTCGGAACCAAGACACAACCCAACCCAACCCGAATGATTCTAGTTCTAGATATCTGTGAACCTGGAACCGGAGTTTACGATATTTTGGTTTTATTGGTACTATTCGATAGAGAATCGTTTGTACTACCTTTAAGATGAAAACTAATGAGATAAAAAAAGTTTTGAAAAATTACCGGAACCTCACTTTTTGATATTCTAATTTTATTAATACCATTCGGTAGAGAATCGTTTGTACCTCAACCGATTCCAAAATACAGCGTTTTTTTGATTTTTCAGAATACAGCTGAAAGTGTGTATTTCCGTTATTAATAGAGATATCGCAAAACGGTCGATGGAATTCGATAGAGAATCGTTTGTACCCGTTTATACCACTTTTGTTTACGTTTGTACCTCAACCGATTTCAAAATACAGCGATTTTTTGATACTTCAGAATATCGCTGAAAGGGTGTATTTCCGTTATTAATACAGATATCGCAAATTGGTCGATGGAATTCGATAGAGAATCGTTTGTACCATCCGGTTTTGTAATTTTTTTACAATCAAACCTGTTCCATCAATACTTAGGCTACTCCTTTTTGTCGCGTCTTTGTAGTGCTTTTTGTAAAGGAAGATTTGTTCTGGACTCCAATACATTACAAAAAAATTTATCGTAGCCAATCTTCCGAATAGTACCTGTAAATTGAGGACGATATTTTAACTCATGCACTGATTGAAAAAGGTCGATGCGAAAAAGTCCTAATTCCCGGACAGTTTCTGTTTGCTTTGCCTTACGCAAAACATGTTTGTTGTACAAATGCGCGGGAACTTTATCTTTAAAATCCATAAAGTCATTAACTTTCTGTCTACGCCAAGCATAGGTTGACTGAGCAGTAACCTCTTTTGCTACCCGTTATCTGAGTACACCTCTTAATTGACGCTTTTTTTATGCTCAATATTTTTTGTATCACTTGTTGAAATTTGCAGTCATCTGTTGGTTTGTCTGGCGCGTACAAATTAATTCCTACACCACATTCGATACATAAACCTTTAATCCATTAACATGGTTCTCCTGGATTTAAGTTAACTTTTGGATTTTTGAAAGCACAGCAATATGGCAGCCGATGTTCTTGCAACAATTATTTCTGTATTACATCGGTCCAGCCTTGTCTTAACACATTATACGCCCTACCCTTATAAATTCTACAAACAGGTCGAATACTGTTCCAGTTGTCGCCTGAAATAGTAATTGTCGTTCTAAGAGGCACTAACGCATGTGACGAATGTGACAAAAAGTGAAAAGCAAAGCGAAAATACCTGGTAGTATGTTGTCTTGTGTACAACACGTGTTTGTGTGGATAAGTCTAGTCGATATTAATCATCCAAACATTAAACGCTGCATACCAGGCCACACCGGCTAGAGTTGAGAATGGTTACGACCAAAATGTCAATTTAGTTTTATGTACTTGAAAAGTATGGGAACTACCGAGACCGAGACCCGGGGCTTCACCTAATATAAATGAAATCGAAGGCCGTACAAACGATTCTCTACAAACGAAAATAAAAGTGGTACAAACGATTCTCTATCGAATTCCATCGACCGTTTTGCGAGATTTAGAATATCAAAAAGTGGGGTTCCGGTAACTAATTTTTTTTATCTCTTTAGGTCCTAAGGTACAAACGATTCTCTATCGAATGGTACTAATAAAAGCAAAATATCGTAAACTCGGGTTCCAGGTTCACAGAGCTAAATCAAACTTGAAATCGTATAACGTGATTAGTGCTTAGCTTTATACTTGAAAACAAATAGTATTTTAGGTCTTTCGGTATTCTTCATTTTTTCTAAGATAAGTTACACCTTCACCTACCAGACAGCATGAAAATCTCTAAAAACGATTAGTCAAATGATGTAAACGCGGTCCAATTCAAGCATTCTATACCCTAAAAATCATCATTGGTCACACGAACGAGTTCCAATTGTTATGTTCCGAAACTGCACTCGCACACGTGAAATCCAATNAAAAAATGTTGTTAACAAAATTTGTTTAGAATTACTTCAGGAACAGCGTTTGTTAATACAATTTTTTGCTAACTTGAAATTTTAATTTCCCTCTGAATAGTATAAAAATTAATATTTTTGAGGTTATATCCTTATTGTTGATTTAATCAAAAAAAATTGTTGACAAAGTTTGTTTAGAATTGTTTCAGGAACAGTGTTTGTTAATACAATTTTTTGCTAACTTGAAATTTTAATTTCCCACTAAACAGTATGCTGTTCTTTTAATCAAGATTTTGTGAGAATGAGTGGAAGGGGGAAATCGTATCGTTTTGTTACAAAAGTTCCGTGCCCTAGTTATGGCTATGTTCCTCCAAGTGGTATAAAAGAAAGATTTTTGGGATTTCTATCTATATTTTCTCATACTGGTGAAAACTTGGAGAAAGTTATTTTAGAATTTTTAAATAATATAGATTTAGACATCATTAACTGTCGGGGACAGAGTTATGATAATGCGTTTAATATGTCAGGTAAATATAAGGGACTCCAATCCAGAATAAAACAACATATTTTTTCTGCCCATTTTATACCATGCGCAAATCTTTGATTGAATTTAATTGGCACTTTTTGAACCACTTTTTTCAATATCGTTCAGCTATTGTACGTATTTTTTCAAGTTCTACACATAGATGGAATGCATTACAAAAATGTTATAAGAGCAAACACTTGAGTATCAAACCTATTTGTGACACCAGATAGTCTGCTCGTTCCGATGCTGTGAAATCGTTAAAGGAAAATTATGAAGAAATTAAACATTGTTTACGTCATTTTTCCTCAAACAAAGATGAAAAACTAGGTCCGAAGCTGCCGATTTATATAAAAAAACTTGATACATTTGAGTATGTACTGTTACTTACTATATGGGAAAAGATTTTAGAGAGAATAGATGCTTCAAACAAGACTCTTCAACAAAAAGACGAATCCCTAAATACATCAGTTTTAATATATGATTCATTGATAGATTTCGTACAAACTGTTAGAGATGATTTTGACAAGTTAGAAAAAGAAGCAGAAAAAGTTAAAGATATTGAAAATACGAAAACTATTTCATGATGAAATTCTAGAACATGAAATAAGATTTTTTTGTATGCGATTATTTAATTAGCAACATTAAAAAAAGATCTGAGGGATATAAAACTATTAACAATTTTTCATGATTTTGGTGACTCTTCAATAAAGGAATTAAAATGTTATGCTTTAGCCTTAATCCGCCACTGCTTAAAACAAATAGTATTTTAGATCTTTCGGTATTCTTCATTTTTTTTAAGATAAGTTACACCTTTCCTACCAGACAGCATGAAAATCTCTAAAAACGATTAGTCAAATGATGTAAACTCGCTCCAATTCAAGCATTCTATACCCTAAAAATCATCATTGGTCACACGAACGAGTTCCAATTGTTATGTTCCGAAACTGCACTCGCACACGTGAAATCCAATTGTTTCCGCGGTTGTTAAACGTTCTCGTAGGCAACGCGGGGTTCGATGGCAATTTAACCACCCCCCGTGAAAACAAAACTTTTGTCGTCGATTTGATTAAACGGCCCACCCCGCCCTTGTATGCGAGTGCGATAAATTCAAACGAAGCGATGTCGCGTGCTACAATACCCCAACCTAATGCCGTATTATCAGTGTTTTTCCCGCGATGAAATATCGCCATGGGTGCCCCCTTTTACTAGTTGGGGTCGAAACATCTGACCCGATACGTTCCAGTTCGATTTCGAACAAATCAACTAAAAATAATAAGAGGAAAAAGAACTTTTTTTTTTAATGATACAAATAGGTTGTTGAAAAATTAAAAAAAAACGCAATAATAATTGTTAATTTCCCTGATGTGAACAACAAGTGTGGTTCTCACAATAATTGATAGTAATCTAATCCAAATGAGAGAGGATGTTTGCACAAAATGGTTTTATTCTTTTGTGTACGCGCCCTAAATAAAACGGTAAAAAAGGGGATTGTGGCGCAATGAATACTTAAAATTCGGGATAATAGAGATTATATCTTGGGGTTGTAACGTATTTAAATAAGCAATTACAGTAATAGATACAACGTAAAGGGTATTTATTGCGAGTAATACGATTAAACCAATTTGGATATAGTTTGTAAACAGTAGCAGATGCGAATGGACAGATCTGCTCCATATTCGACATAATTCCATAATAATAAGACTGCATCAATTGAGATTCTAAATAGGATTAAAATTATAACAAAAAGTAAGCACAAAAATATGTATTGAAATTCATTATATAATCACAATTTGTTTTAAATCATCATCAATTCTTTATCCATCCTATTTATTTTTTATTCCTTTTCATCTAACGATTCTTATTTTCAGACCGAAACAACACCCTTTTTCATTATCACCGTTTAACTTCCACTTAACATTGTACGTGGCTGGTGGGTAACTGTCCAAAATGCTCAACTCGTACTTGTACGTTTGTTTAGTACCTTGCTTCAGAGGGCACGTGGTGTATTTACATCCATCAGTTTCCATGCTCAACATCGGTATATCTTTTATTCCATTATCCCAATAAGGTTGGGATAATAAACTATTCGAATCAAAATCTAAAAATTACAAAAAAAATAATATATTTAAGTTTTCATAAAAATTCAAGTTTTAAATTTTAAGGTAATATTATCTTTATTAGTGTTGCACCTATTTAATAACAAAAAAATGGAAGAGAATAGTGATTATAATTTCTCTATATTGCCATTTAACTTTAAATGATTAAATTTTATCAAAACTTCAAATATTTTTTTCTCATAAACTAAAAGTTATTTTTCAAAACGGGTTGGTTCACTGGAAAGAGGACACTTTTATTAACACTTTGGCAAATTTTCATACTCATATTCAAAGAATTAGATTTTATACGAATTTTTAAAACTTAATCGGCGAAAATTGCAAAATTCGAAAAAATTGTCGATTATTTCAAAAATTTATTTCTCAAGAACTAAAAGTGATTTTTCAAAACGGCTGTTTGCATTAAAAAGAGGATACGTTAATTAATAATTGGTGATATTTCCACAAGGATGCTTCAAGAAATTAATTTTATAGCGAATTTTGAAAATTATCGATGAAAATTGCAGCATCGAAAATGTTATCAAAACTTTAAATATTGTTTTCTCAAAAACTAAAAGTTATTTTTCAAAACGGGTTGGTTCATTGGAAAGAGGACACTTTTATTAACACTTTGGGAAATTTTCATACTTCTATTCCAAGAACTGGATTTTATACGAATTTTTAAAACTTAATCGGCGAAAATTGCAAAATTCGAAAAAATTGTCGATCATTTCAAAAATTTATTTCTCAAGAACTAAAAGTGATTTTTCAAAACGGCTTTTTGCATTAAAAAGAGGATACTTTAATTAATAATTGGTGATATTTCCACAAGGATCCTTCAAGAAATTAATTTTATAGCGAATTTTGAAACTTATCGATTTAAATTGCGAAATCGAAAATTTTATCAAAACTTCAAATATTGTTTTCTCAAAAACTAAAAGTTATTTTTCAAAACGGGTTGGTACATTGGAAAGAGGACACTTTTATTAACACTTTGGGAATTTTTCATACTTATATTCCAAGAACTGGATTTTATACGAATTTTTAAAACTTAATCGGCGAAAATTGCAAAATTAGAAAAAATTGTCGATCATTTCAAAAATGTATATCTCAAGAACTGAAAGTGATTTTTCAAAACGGCTTTTTGCATTAAAAAGAGGATACTTTAATTAATAATTGGTGATATTTCCACAAGGATCCTTCAAGAAATTAATTTTATAGCGAATTTTGAAAATTATCCATAAAAATTGCAAAATCGAAAATTTTATCAAAACTTCAAATATTGTTTTCTCAAAAACTAAAAGTTATTTTTCAAAACGCGTTAGTTCATTGGAAAGAGGACACTTTTATTAACACTTTGGGAAATTTTCATACTCATATTCCAAGAACTGGATTTTATACGAATTTTTAAAACTTAATCGACGAAAATTGAAAAATTCGAAAAAATTGTCGATCAATTCAAAAATTAATTTCTCAAGAACTAAAAGTGATTTTTCAAAACGGCTTTTTGCATTTTAAAAGAGGATACTTTAATTAATAATAGAAAGCTAATAACAACGACAGTTCTGTTAGTAATGAATAATGAAAGACGAAACTGCAACAAGAGATTTTATATATCGTATTGGGATTGTTGCATTGAGGTTGTTAATGATAAATCTGATATAAGTAAAGTTGTATTCAATGAAAAAAGTCCTATTGAAGTTGAACTTGATTATTATGTACAGTGACCAACACCTAAAAAAGATACTAATTCCTGTGAATGATGGAGTACTAATGTATAATTTTTATAGCTTTTAATATCTGGCTTTGATAGCTATCCGGTATCCTGCCGGATTTTAAAAAATGGCTGGATAGGGCGGATACCGGATATAATGAATTATGCTGAATTGGTCATCGATTGTCTTTGTCAAGATTGCAATAAGAATAGCATAGTGATACTAACTTTATCTATTATATTAATGAATTACAACTGTTGTAAATGTCTCTTCAACGCTTATTGAATTGCCAGAAATTAACGAAAAGTCTGAAATCTTTTCCATAGACGAGTAAATAATACCTGTTTGATAAGACATCATTGTATTACTCTGCTTTCAACCATATTGTATCCGAATAACTTGGAAAAATTATGGAAACTTGCCATAATTTTGAGTTGGTACTCAAAGAAGAGCCCAAATTCGACAAAACATTGGAACGCTACATTCTATGTTATGGAAATGTCGAAATTTACCAAAATGGAAGTGCAGGAATCAAATTCTTTCACTACATGTATGCAACTCCACTCCAATTAATCACTGATTATAATCAATTTATTCAAGTTTTCTTCCAGACAAAAGCAGATAATAGGAAAATTAGTATCTATGAAAGCAGCACTGTTATAAAGATATGCATCATTTTTAACAAAATTACAACATGTCTCTTTTATGCCATACCAAAAGCTGCTTCGAGTTTTTGGGGTATGAAATGATAGCGCACGCACATTGGAAAAACTATAATAACTTATTCCATGTTATATTTATTTGAGAGAGATGCGTGGAGGCCTACAAATTGCTGTTGACCAACAATTGGATGCCTCAAGCTAGTAGTGAAATTGAGGAATATATTACGATAGCATCTAATGAATTAATCAAATGGCAAAAACCATTCACTAGGGACTCGATACATTTAGGGTCTTAGATGTCTTAATTAGAAGGCTCAAAACAAAATATTCTCATGTTCGATTATTTTATAATCTCGCTATAGTAGTGATAAATGCACATTTTTTGCGCTGAAAAAGTCATAAAGTAAAAAAATTTTACTGCTTTCTGATTTTCAAACTGAAGTGACAAAAAGATTATGCCAAACCGAAATCGTATAATTGACTTAATAAATAATAATAAATTTGACTTAAGACACTCAGATTTTTCCCCAACCTTTATCAACATGGTTCCAAGAATCCGTTTTTAAGACAACTTTATGAAAAATGGAACAAAATTTATTATAAAATAATAAAATTATTACCTGGTGTAAAATCTACCTCTACTTCAACTTTCGAACCTTTCTTAGCCTTGCATGGGGCGTTTCTTGCTGCTTCCTTGCAAGGATTTATGCGCACCTCGTCGATGCATTGATTCTCGTAGTCGTCTTGTGAAAAAGAAAAAACACATATATAAATAAAAAATAATAATAATCTTAGTTGATATTGATATTTGTAATATTCCTATGACCCGTGCTGATCAATGACTCGCTAAAAAAAAATTATTTATCAAATTTTAATGCAATGACCCTAAAAGGTCAATAAATAAGTTATTGATAACAATAAAAAAGGCAACAAACTTAATTTTATTTAACTAAAATGTAAATTGACCTACATAATATGAGGATTAAAACAAATCTAATTCAAAGATGATTTAAATTAAGACAAATAAATCATGCTATTAATAAATGCAAGTTATGAGGATATAGAAAAAAGTGAGAAATAAATAATGATTGTGATTATTTACCTACCACATGGAGAAACGTTGACAACAGCAGAAAGAACGCTGCAAAACAATGTCGCCAAACAGAAACATAAGACTATGAATTTCAACATCTTTGAGTCGACTGCAAGACCAGACGTTACAATGGCGAAAACATAATAAGCCGAGCGGGTAACAAGACTCCAATTTATATATCGTCGGATGGGTAACGTTCGTGTGCAAAGTCCGAGCAAATGAGATTTTGTTTAAAGTGTTTTTATTTAAACTAATGATCATGTTTACATTACGAAAAAAAAAACAGTTTGAAGATTTTTTTATAATACCTTTCATAATTACATAAAATAACTTGGATGTTTCAAACCTCTAAAATATTAATTATTTGATTTGAAACATTTCGTTTCAATATTTAATTTGAATTGTAAATGAATTAAAAACTAATTAAAGTAAAAAGCTTTTTTTAAAATAATCTAAGTTTGAGTAAATTTTCTTTTAATCTCTTACAAGAATGATTACTACGTTATTATCGAGTGCATTTGTACTCGTTGAGTGCTGATGTACTTAAAGTTCATTCGAGTCGATACCCTTTGAACTAACAGTAATAATATACACAAATCACACATAATTAATGTTTATCGTTATGATATGTTCGATTAAAAATTCTGTTGAACTCGATTTTTTTGCAATGAATAATTTCTCTTCCAGCGATAAAATTTTCCATTTTCTCCCGATTGATTTTTTTTTTGTCAAAGATAAAAAAATTAATAAAATAATGTAAAAAGTATTCGTTATAATACACTCCACGTCAGAACCGAAATGATATATGATTCACTAATATGGACAAAGCCATTTATCATGTTGTGTACTGAAAACGCGAGTTCACTACGAAAGCATAACGATTCGCGTGTAGTTTTGTGTTCCCTTAAAAGAATAGGGAACAAACTCGAATTTGAGAAGGTTGAATGCAGTATACTGATAACTGATACTGTATTCATGACGACGATAGAAATATATATATATTTTCCTGTTACGCACGGAATCAGAATATCCACTATAGTGAAATATGGTTTTATCCTTTCGGATTTTCTTACGTATCCGCACTTTACATTTTATACAGGATCCAAATCCTTATTCTCGTTATGTAAAATAAACTTATGTAAATAGAAGATGTAGATATTTGTTTTTAGGGGAGTTTATTCTGTTAGGATATTTTAGATTTTCTACAATAAGTTTACATCATTCAAATTTTCTTAGGTCTTAACGATTTTATAAAACCTAACATATATTTAATAATAGCTTATGATATGCTAATATCAGATTTTTCATAATTAAGACTCGATGAAATTTAAGTAAACCATTAACACTTTGACAATACATTGAGATGTATCACACCCAGCAGCCTAAATTATCCCTCTATTTTCTCTTTATACTCATCTTAACCAATTTCTCCGTTTTTAACACTTTCCTCAAAATTGTTTATCTTATCATCAAAGAGACCATATTTGACCGAAACCCCATCACAACATCTTAAATTACCATTAGAAGATCCGGCCATTTTTTAAAATCGAATTGTATAAAATCCATTTCTTGGAAAATGAGTATGAAAATTTCCCAAAGTGTTAATAAAAGTGTCCTCTTTCTAATGAACCAACCCGTTTTGAAAAATAACTTTTAGTTTTTGAGAAAACAATATTTGAAGTTTTGATAAAATTTTCGAGGTTGCAATTTTCATCGATAA